ATGCAAACCCTTCTCCCTTTTGGGTGTAGGAAGGTAATTCACTTTTTGTCATCCCAGCGACATTTCTTTTTCTTTGAGATAATTTTCAGAAGACGTAAAGCAGGCTCCTCACTAGTCCTTTAGTTCTTAAAATCCCACTGTACTTTGAAGATAGGACAGGCTATAAATCTACAGTGTGCTAAATGTTTTCTATCAAGAGTTAAGAGCTGGAGATTCTCATGGGTTCGTTGTTGAGTGTTCTTTTTAGCGTAGTTGTTTTTCTACCTCACACTGATTTAAATGTCTACTTCAGACAGCTTTTGATCATGTAGATACCGAATTTATGGTAGAAAATAGGGTACGCTGTAGGCTGTGACCAGCTGAAACGGTAATGTTGAATTAGACATACCTAGTTGCTTTTATGTACTCCTGTAGCTATCTGTAGAGGTTTTGTTTCTCTTCCATACTTGTTTTCCAACAGCATGGTGATCTTTGCAGCGCAATAAAAATAAAAAGAATTTTCTGGATGGGTAAACTTGACATCCCATGACTTGCAATCCCTCCTGTATGTTAGTTTTTCCAGTTGGTTTTACTAATCTGAACAAAATCTGCTGCATGAAATACAACTCCTTTTGAAAAACATGTTGGAGCTTTTTAAAATTTTCCTTGGTATTTCTAATGTAAAACGTATTTTTTTTAAATTAACCAAAAAAATCGTCAGGGCTTTATGGGCTCAGATGTTATCTGGGAGAAGTTTAGGAAGGAAGGGGAAAATATAATTGTTTTAATGCTGTTTCTTCTGCTAATAAAACCCCAATTACCCTTCAGGTTGTTTAAATTTCACTTCATATATCAACAGTAAAAATAATCAGGCATAGAACATCTCATGTTGGCCCCCTTTAGCGGTTTTCCTCCAATATCAGATCACTGCTAATTCCATTGAATGATCTATTTGTCTTCTTTATTTTTTAGCTACATGAAAGTAACTATGATGCTGGAAAAGCCCTGCAGCGCTTGGTGAAGAAACCTGTGCCAAAACTGATTGAGAAGTGTTGGACTGAAGATGAAGTGGTAGGGAAATGAATTATTCCCTTGAGCCTTATAGTTCATGTTGCTTCTCTTGCTTTTTTATTTCTTTCTCTTTTTTTTTTTCCTAAAGAGGTTATCTTTATGGGAAAGAAGAGGGGCAAATAACTTGCTGTACAGGATAAATTTTTCAACAATTCTGAGTTAGTGGGCCCTCGTTCGATACACAGAACTTTATTAGACTGGGGAAAATGCCTTCCTAGTAGTAGAATAAGAGAGGAGAAGATCAAGTGATTGTTTTTGAGAGGATATGATAGGGTAAATGAACAGCTGCAAAGAGTCCAGCTACTTCTGGACTCTAAATTTCACTTTCATGGTCACCTCCAAGAAGGCTGGCCACATTCATTAATTGGGGTAGGATGAGATGTAAAAGGCGTACAAAGTATGTTGTCCCTGTTTTTTTTCCTGCTGGTATTGGAGGACGCTTACAGTGTCAGCTCAAGTTGGCTAATGGGAGGTTGGATATCAGTGTTCCTTCTAAACAGAGTTTGAGATTTAAGTCCCTTCTTCCCCTTATACGGAATATTAGAAAGTATTTACTGGCATAGTTCTTGATGGATGAATCTTTGACAAAGAGCAGACCAAAAATAGATTGTCTGAAAGCTGGGATTTAGCCATGTCATCCACATTTACTTTAAAGTATGTAGAAATTGTCAAGCTCCAAAACTGTACTGAAAACAGTGCATCCATCTTATATGTAGCTCCCAATGTAATGGACATGATGAATTTGGGGCATGCAGTGAATATGTGGTGCAGTATTGTGTCCTCGCAGTTATGGACCTGGAATTGCTGAGGGATTTGGGCTCATACACTTTAACAGTCTGGTACGCTGCAAGTCTCATCAGCTTACACAATTAGTAGTCACAGTGCTGGTTCTTCCATATGGCTGCTGTTTCAGCACATGCTGGTGGTTAGTCTTTCTAGGTTTGGGGTTGTAGTGCAGGCAGAGAAGGAACACGTAAACATGTCATTCTTTCCTTCAGACAGAGGTTAAGGTTTTTGATGTATATGGCTTTGGATTGAAATTGTACTGTTGTTATTAGCCTACTAAAAGATCCTGCTCTGCAGTCTGATTAGTGGAAAAAAATAATTCTGATCTGCGAAAGACACCTCTTTGTAAATCTCTAGTTGACAGAGAGGGTGTGCTGCTGGGAAAGCACTTCACACTCAAATGTGTCTGAAAACACACATTTTTTTCTATTTCTGGGTATTTTTCCAGAATTTGGGGGAGATGATATCTGGGGGAGAATTAGTGAAGCAAAGGTGCTTCTTGTGGTTCATTCTGCAGCTTAATTGCTGCAATTGCGAGGTTTCTGCTGGCTTAACTTTCATACATATGATATAATGCAACTGTGCTTATTAAACAGCTTTCTGTAGGGTTGTAAACCGAACCAAATGATGTGAAGTTGGGAGCAAATTATAGATTCTTACTTTGCTGACACCTTTTAAACAAACAGATTCTTAAATATTGCATTCAACACAAGATGCATTTTCTGGCAGCATTTGGAATCCAAATGCTGCTGCATTATAACCCTTTGTTTGTCAGACCTTGCAGCTTAAGCTAGCACACAAGTACTTGAATGTAAAAAAAACAATAACCAAACAACAAAAAAACAAACAAAACCCCCCAAAAACCCCACCACCATGAAACTTGTGTATTTTCAGTACCCAGGAGAAATGCTTGGATTACATCCTAAAAATATTTTGCATTTTAATGCTGATGTTGATTGTGCTTAACAGAATAGATTTATGTGAAATGTAACATGTAAGAAGCCAGTATCTCTTCAGCAAGCTGACTAGGCATGTCTGGTTTTGTGAAAATGGAAAAATGTTGTATTTCCTAGCTCAATAATTAGGCTGCAGTGTGCACTAAAATAGAAAATCAGATGATTGGAAGTTAGTTATGATAAAATATTTATCACAGAAGAACTTCAGACTTGCTTATGGTTTTTACCTTTCACTGTTGGAAAAGCTGCTTCTCTCTGATGTACCATATTGGAATAAACAGGGATAGAAATTCAACCTCTCATGTATACTTACCAGGTATATAAATGAAAAAAATCTGATACAGCGCAAGACAGCATTGCTTATGTAAAAGTGACAAAAGGGTTTTGTGTTTTTTTTTTCCTTTGAATGAATGAATTTTTAAGCTAGTTAGTTAATTGGTAAAGTATTGGAAGAAGTAAATAAAAATAAAAATTTTGTGGCCTTGTTAAGCTACTAATAAAGTTGCAATAATGCTATAAAATAGAACTGATTAATAACGGGTGAAACTTTCGTGGTCTCTTAGCATCTTTTAATTATTCAGACAGTGGCTGGAGAGACTTTTTTTTTTTAAGCTCTCGTTTCTCTGAAAGTCTTTCAGGTAGTTATTCCAATGAGTTATGTGTGCTCTGTCCTTGCGTAAACCTTTTTGCAAGCTAGATTAGGGGTAGGCCAGGCTGTATAAACCTGTATTAACGTCGGCTTATTCTGAAATCCAACAAAGAACCTTTGTGGTAAGGAGGCTGCCTGAAGTCGTAGAGTGAAAGAGGATCATGTGCTAACACCAGTAGCAAAGCGGAGGGAGAGGATGAGTAAAAAGCCTAGAACAGTTTCCTGATAAGTTTTACGGCTATCTTGTCATGAGAGGGAGTTTTGTTTAGGGAACTGACAATCGAACAAATACTTCCAGTGCTCTGCCCTGTGTTTAGTAAGTTTGTATTCATATTGTTTTAACCTCTGTTTTCTCTGCATACATTCTTTCCTACGTTCATGGTTAAATTTTACAGTACCAACACCTCTTTTTCTGTGTAGATTTTTTTCAGTCTCCTTGGTTTTTTTTTCCATCAGCTGCACTATGCTGTGAATGCCATAGCTGCTGCAGCTCAGGGTTTTTTGAGTGGTCCACGTTAAATGGTACGAGAACAGAGCCTTACGAATAAGAAAAAGCAAAGTTTATTGAAAAGTGAAACATTACTCCAAAAGTGCAAACTCTGTGAGTACAGAATAATGATCATTGACTCTATAAATCATTGTCAGTCTCAGCTCGTTTTATCATATTTGTTCTTGTTCTGTTCCATCCAAGTTTCCAGAAACATTTGGCAGCCCTCCAGCCTCAGCAGAGCCAAAGATCAAACTGTGCTCGTATTTATAGACAGCTAAGCTCCACCTGCGCAACATCATAGCATGTTTGTCCCTGGCAGTTTGTAGAAAACTCCAGATTAAAGCAGCTGTACTGCGCTTCTGAGCATTTCTGAGACTTGCAAGAGACGTTTCCTTATTGTTGGTTCTGTGAAACCGAGGAAAACTCTTTCTGCGTGATACAGAGGGTGCTAGAGCTGCACAGGAACTCCACAACAAAGTAATCTTCAGAAAACACTGATGTGTCAAACCCAAAGTCTTGCCAAAACAAATTTTCGTGAGAACCTTGTAAGTGCGTGTCATCCCCCCATCTCATGGTGGCTTTTGATGAGCAGGAGGAAGCCTCTAGTAATGTGGCTGGCTAATAATCCAAGAGACACACTTCGAAGGGAAGTGGAAGACCCCGGTCCAAACCATGTCCTTGTTTGTGCTGGACTTGGAATTAATCTCTTCTTGTGGCCCAGAAAATACCTACTTACTTAATTTTTACAACTTGGATAAATGAGCAGATACCACACCAGGTAGAAAGCTTTGGTTAGTTAACCTCCTTAACTGAGAAAGGCTCTGTGGCATGTGGCCAATTGGAGTAATGTAGATCATGGCTTTTGTTGCCTCAGTTTTTCCATTCCTGCCTTTCTAAATGCTATAAGCATATTCTGCCCCCTGCCATGCATCTGGACCCCAAAGAAGTCGCGCTCCCCCTTCTTAAGTTAATTTTCTGCCACATTTTTAAGATGAGCATCAGAAAAGTTCTGTTGCAGGGAAGATGTAAGGTTGTGCGGCTGGGTGGGGAACGGAGAGCAGAGGGAAAGGAGCACTGGGGCAATGTCAAGTAATTGGGCAGGTGGCAAAAGCAACTGAAGCAGAAGTGTAGTCACATTGATGCAGGGAAAGAACTGACTTAGTACAAAACTAATTCTTAAAACTTACACTTCCCTAAGTCAAAAATGCTCTGTAAGTTGGTTGGTCTATTACTTGCACAAGCATTTTGACCGAGTCCATTTCCAGTGCGCTGGATGATTAATGTAGTCGATTCTGTTGTGCACGCGATAGCAACGCTGGGTCCAGCACAGGTGTCTGTAGTATTCAGTAGTGTTTGTCATATAAGATTGTGTGAGTAACTCAAATTTATTGAAAATTTATTTATTTGTAAAGCTTTTAACTACTTCTGTGGACTGTTGCCCAAAGATAAAGCCTTTCTTGTTAATTAAAACGGCTTTGTTGCCTGTGACCAAACTGTCAAGTAAGAGCTGCTTTGCAATGATCAGAACTGATTAAAATAAAGGATGGAAGCTATGTTATTTTTACTACTGCTTATGTGGTTACAGAGGTTTAGATCAAATTAAACAGAGGATAAAATTTGCCAGTGATTGAATTAAATGGAAGGGTCTGTAAATATGAAGACAGAGGTTTGTTGGTCTCCCTTGTGTTTCTAAACCTATGGCTATTTTTAAACCTTTTTTATTCCAGTATGTAAATTCAGAGGCATGCTGTGAAAACCAGTCTTCCACTCTGCCTAATAGAAGTGGCTAAAGAAACTTCTTTACTGATGCATCTACATGCAGCTCTAAGAGCAGCTGTTTCCTGTTTATAAAGGCTTGTGCTACACCTGACAACAGCAATTTCCAGCAATGATTTGGTGAGGGGGGGTTGGTTTCTCTTGTAATGCTCATGAATTTACGCCTGTGGACAAATTCATTGAGAAATTGTCATATGTAATGCCATATTTAAGCACTTTCTAAGCATGCACCCTATAGACCAACATTCAGCAGCATCACCCGGTTGAATCTTGTTGGTGTTAGGCTGCAGTTTCAAATAGAAAGCAGTGCAGTTCAGAGGAGATGTGTTATTTGGGAAGAAGC